AAAAAAAAAAAAAAAAAAAAAAAAAAAAAAAAAAAAAAAAAAAAAATTTAATATAATATACTATATCTTTTTAAGATAAAAAAATATTGTTTTCAAATTCAATACCATTATAAGATAATATCAAGAAAATTCAATTTAATTGTGATAATAATTTTCTTACCTTTGGACAAAACTTTAAATAAAGCAATAAAATCATTTCCCAATTGTATTTAAAGTTTCATATCAAATTAAATTAATTAGTAATTTAACTTTAATAACATTGCAACTAGTATAACCTACATTATGTTTAATAAAGTACTTATGACTAACCTGATAGAGAATTAAAAATATAGATAATAATTTTGAATCTAATTTTTTTTTTCTCATACAAGTTCTACTTTACATTTAATAATATTATTTAAAAAGTAATTAATCAAATAGATCAATTTTGTAATTGAATTACTAAATTGTAATAGACAATTTCCTAAAATTCTTTTCAAGCTTTTGAACGCAAATGCACCGGTTTTAATGAGACTAAAAATATTTTTTTACGCCTGCGAGTTGGCAAAATGGTTAAAAAAGTAATCAGACCAAATATAATACAACGTCAAAGAAAGATCAGCAGGCGTTCTTTATATTATTCGTGCGTTATTATTATACACGTGATATGGAAGAATAGAAATTAGCTACGTACAGTAGGTGCAGTGCAGTACGACGCTTTTTTCTTTAAAGCTACGTATTCTTTCATTCTCAATAGAAACACACTAAGGTATGTACGTACGTCTCATTCGTTTATTATCAATACGGTTTCCTAATTTAGAGGTGAATTTATTATCCGCAGGAACTTATATCAACCTTCCTCTAACCGCTTGTTAAAACATTTCCCTCACCTTGCAAATTATCAATATTTATTATTCAGGGACGCCGTTTAAAAAGTTTCACGAGTGTCTAAATGGAGATCTCGCTGTAAGGTTTTAACTTCCATCTCATAAATACACAAAAGCAAACTTGATGCCGCATGTATGACATGCACAGAACTCCCTCTTCTTCCTCACAATTATCAGCTTCCCCTCCCGCATCCTCAAATTCTCAAAAAACAAACAAAGACAGATCAGATCGTCCAGGTTTGCCCACTCTATATATCCTTTTTTTTTTTTTTTTCATTTTAAAAATGAGAGGTTTAAGTTGACGTGACATATTCGCTGTTCCTAATCGAAACTGGAAATTAGAATTTCTACATCAAAGTTGCACAAATAATCACTCAGGCACGTCTTGTACAGTATGATACTCAGAACATTGGAAGAGTTCCATCCAATACGAATCTGTCATTACATCCGCGTCATCATTCAAAAAGAAGTAATAAATGGGTATGTTAAAGAATTAAATGATTGAAAGTCGTCAGATCTGTAAGAAAAGCAAACCTCGTAAATTCTTTGATCGTTATAATAATCAATAACTCCCTTTTATTATATATATACATATATACCTCGGGTGGAAACTAAAATGATTCTGGCACCTTTTCTTAAATTCTTTTAAACCGATTTTGCGTGTAGTTCAATTTAGAATTGTGGGACTCTGACATCTACAAAGATGATCTCAAAGTATGGCGCCACGTAGCACAGACGTCTATGGGATCCTCCGAATCTCTTCCAATGACCATAGAATTCTATTTAGATACTTCTGAATTGACCAAGAATCAAGTTCTGATGTTAACTGATGAGACCCTGAAAAGCCAAAGAGTAGATTCCATCATCTTGGGGGAGAATGATAAAATCACAAGAAATATCATATTAGAGCGTTGGCAGTTGTCTTTAAGGTAGCATGATTTTTAAAAGTCTGTATATATTCGTAATCTTTTCTCTGCTTTATTTGTTTCAAATAAGACAATTTCTCATTTGTAAATGGAATAAATCAAACAAAGCTACCCACTGCCTGACCCACCACCGGATCTTCCTGTTGTCTATAAGAAATCCATCGCATTTTTTCGTTCTTTGTATGCTTATGTTCGGTTATTGCCGGCTTTTCGGCTTTACAAAAGAATAAGGAAAATGCGTCATAGTAGCGCTTTAAAAATTGGGTATAGATTTGTGCTACCGTCGAATAGTATTTACGATGATATCGGGATAGGTTAATAAATATATATTATGTTTTTATTTGATAAATGAATGAGTTTTCTTTATTTGAGTTCCATACTGACTGATGTCTTTTAAACTTTATTCAGAGGAGCCTGTAACAGAGGGAGAAAATGTACCTACTTCTTCAGAGTTCGAATTTGGTTCCATCGACACGCCATTAGGGTAAATTGATTTGGGAAGTTTTGAGCATTGATAAAATAGGCATCAGAAATTAATTCTTCAATACAATCCTATATAGCGTTTTATCCCTCAGGGTACAATATAGAAAAAATTGCGACTTTTATATCGACGAATTCGAAGGCACAAGATTGATAATAGATGAAGACTATTTTACACCCACTATGATGCAACATTATAGACAAGAGAAGGATGAAAGACGCAAAAGTTTTCCTGCCAGGATAGATGTTCGCATTGTTATTATTATTATTATTATCTCGATATTGAAACTTTCCCCCTTAACTTAATAATTATTTAACTAAATTCCTTAGACGCCCGGTTTTCTTTATTCAGATATACCGCAACCGTCTACAAACAACAATTTAGTTAGTGACGCACCACTCGTACGAACACTCAATTCTCCTAGATCAAACCCTGATCTCACTTTCCAAAAAATTTACGCTCCATCGCGTCCTACAAATACGGGTTCAAACCTATCTTTGAGATCATCGGATCCACGACGTCTTTCCAACACATTCCTGGAACCGATAATAGCAAGTCCAACAAATATAGACGGGGTATTTATGAGTTTAATTTATTCGTGTGTAAATTATTTTCTGAATCTTTTTTTTTTTTTTTTTGCTTACCACGTACACACCCATTTTATTTTACCTTAGCGCGAAACTCAATTTTCAACATCATCCATGACAACAGCTAGACCTAATGTAACATTGGTGCAACCATTTAAGTCACCATCTTTATCTTCCTCGCCAGTGAACCATGAGAACTTGTCATCACCGGTATACTTTGATCGCACATCCACTTCACCATTACCTAGATCACCATCGCAACAATCTCTTCAACAACGAAACGTTTATCAGTCATCAACGAGACCCCTGCCCATCAATGGCGGTATGTCATCTTCAGAGAGGTCCGCTTCATCTGCTGGAAGTCCAGGGATTCCAAAATTTTCTTCGAGTTTTAATCATTACAAATACGAAAGATCTGGTAGTGTTTCTAGTCGAAGGCGTTCCCGGTCGAGTTTGACGAATAGAAGTGATGGTTCATCGGGATCCTTTAATTCGGTTAGTTCTATGTCTGCATTTTTATTTTATTTCAGTCAAATACTAAAATAATCTCCAAATCAATTTATTCTTCTGTAATGAATTCAGTCCTTCTTCGCATCACTGGAACCGGAAGATGATATCGGCGAATTTGTACAAATGGTGGAGACTCTGGAACCTCTGAAAATGTTTAGTAGAAACCAAACAGGACTAGATGATACAAACGATCTAGGGCGTAACCTATCAGGATCATTATATCGAACTCAGGTATTTGCTTCTGTTGAATTGTCTGCATTATTATCGTCATTAACATAATAAAATATGAACTGTAACCATTTGCAGCAACAGTTTAGTCGTTTACAAAAATTTAAAGAAGCGCACAATAATTTACCAGACTCGATGACTTCATTTGGTTTGCAGCTCATCCCCCAGCAACTCGATTCACCTAGTGGACTAGGACTTGGTACTTCAAGTGGATCTATATCTTCCTCTTCAACGATGTCGTCCATCAGCAGATCTCTGACTCACCTGCCTAACGTACCATCGCGTCTTTCCGAAAAGGTTAATACCGAACGGCCTCAGCCGGTTCGAATACCTCAAACAAAAACATTAGAGTTTCGTTCACATAGGCCCAGGAGTACAAGTATTACCTCCAATGGTAGCATCGGTAAAGGAAACGATGAGAACATGATGCAGTCTGATCATGCTATTATGGATGCTTATTCCAATTTGTCATCTCAAGTTGGTGTCCAGCAACAGCGTGATTTGTTATTTAAAGAATCCAATTCTGGTGTTGGAGATTCTATTGAAAACCCCGAAAGAAATAATGACATTTTAGGTGGATTTAGGACGAGCTCTGCAACAGGCTTAAATATAAAAAAAAACGTACTTGAAAATGAATTAATCAAGGAATTTGAAGATCTCACAATAAAAGATATCACTAGTAGAGCTGATATTATTACAGGATCATCTGTACCAGGTATTCATCAAGCGAAGGTAGGCGCTTCAAATAATGACGATGACGATTTGCTTTTTGCGATGACTTTGGAGAATTTCAGTGGTGTGAATGATTTTCATGATCAGAACCTGAATTGTTATCATAGTATCCCTTTGGATCATCACGGTAGAGTTACTGTGGATGCACCTGTAGGTGTTGATGAGGTTGATAATAACAAGTAATTTGATTTCTCCCCAATAAATTAGAACTTTGACAAGATTTCACACTTTAATGAAAATCTTACTGACACTGCTCCGTAAATAACAAACAATTCAAAGATATTTATATACTATGTAATGTCGGTGATTTAAATTTATCCCCACTCTTGATATTCGGACATTAAGGAAACATTTTCTCAAAATATTCAGCAAGCTGGTAACACAAACGGAAAATCATTATTTCTCAAATTTGTATAATTATTGCCAAATGTTATTTAAAAAACACTTTCAACTTGTATTAATTAATTTTATTAATATATATAATAATATATTTAATGCTTGTAAAAATAATCTATTTTTTAAAATATAAGCTAGTTATTTTTTGATAATCAAATAATTTAAAAATCAAAAAAAAAATTAATAAGTAATATTTAGCTATTATAAAATATATAAATATAATTGATGCAAAAAAATTTTTTCTTTATAGATTATTAATAAATCTGTTTGTTTTCATTGCTTTAACAATTTTAATATCTATTTACTTAATTGTAAATATTAGGCTAATACAAATATATTAATATCAAT